GACACACAGAGCTGCTAGATGTTGAGACCTGTAAAACCATTTTTACCATTAGTATAGAAAGAGTGACACTTGAATTAAATGAAATGTGTTTCATGGCCGCAGCCTCATTTACTAGGCCATAGTTCACAAAATGTAGTGACAAAAATTGTTCATCTAAAGCGTATAAAGAACTAAGATGAATGTAAATAAGTAATTCATTATGAGACTAAATGTTATTAGAGGGGGAAGTTTTTGTTAACTGTAACTACATGTCTGCTTCCATGAGTAGAAAATTCACAGACATGTAAACAAGATTTAATTTCTGAGTGATTCCTTTGATAAACATAGCTTTCTTCAGTAACAGCACAGCAAAAAAAACTCTCACTGTAATAATATCTTATAGGTAACTACTTAAGTAAAGGACTCTTGCAGAGAAGTGTTCAATTCCCCATTCTATATCTGAGGAAATCTATTTCCTTGGTGTTTTAAATGTTTAGTGATCGAGGAGAGAGCCCTACAGTAGCTGTAATAATGCATATGTAACTTTAGCTGCTCAACATCCCAGATAAAGAAGGAAACTGACAGTAAATAAACTCTTGGTGGTTATCACTGGTTTGCATTCTTAACTGAAGCAAACATCTTAAGTGAAGTAAGTACACTGGGTCACAGTTTGAGTTTCCTAAACTGGTGTTATCAGATAAATAAAACTGCCTAAGAGAACAGTCTGGTGGGCCTCTTCCCTACACATTAAAATGGCATGCCAAATACACTTAGCCCTATCTCTGTATGACTGATATATTAGCATCAGATTGTTTTTCTGTTTCAACATATGTAGCTTGAGAACAAAACATTTATTTCTTCCCTTTTTTTCTCATTACCATGAAATAAATCAGATGCAAGGCAACCAGCTAATTTTAAGTTAAAGGTTTTGATATTGTTGTGCTTTTTTTGAAATGCAGATTAATCTTCCAATGAATGAAATCTTAATGTGTGCAATACAAAAATCCCTAAGTCAACAAGGTGTTACAAGCCTATTTCAAGTCTGTGGCAATACTTTTGAGTGTTATAGATAGCTTTCTAAGGTGTCTAACCAGGAAACTCTCTGACTACCTGCCTCACTGGAAGATATTGAGTCAGTCCTCATAAATTTGCATAGCCCTGAGTCATGATTTACTGTGCTCATCTGAGGTGTGTGCTGTTCAAATAGCTATACCTTGTCATGGTGTGTCATACTTTATTACTCTCCTCATGAGCTCCCTTTATCGTACTTTGCCTGAGGATTATGAAAATCACCTGTAAAAAATAAAGAAATTTCACCAATCGTGTGGTGCTTCAAGTCATTTCACAACGAATTACATAAAGAATAACAAAATAAACACTCAGAAAACCACAGATGATGAAGCCAGTCCATTAAAACTGTGTTTGAGGAGTCTCAACTGTTTGTAAGAACCTAATTTCTTTAGTAGGCTGAAGTATTTCCCTTAGTCTCTGCACTAGTTATTATAGAATTAAACGTGCCACACTGCTTTCTATCCACACTCGGCCTGCTCCTCTCTAACCGATAGTGCTCACCTTGGAAAGAGATAATTTTTAAAAAATAAACATTTGAAGTCCTACTGTAATTAAATTAAGATAATACTGTGTGTGTAGTGGATGTTATACCATTGAAGACATGGAAGCTGTTTTGTATTCTGATCAGAACATGGTAAATCATTTCCCAGTTAATTGAAAATGTTAATTGAACTGAAAACTTTCAGCACCACTGTTTAATAGTTGCAGATTCTGCTCACTCAGTGCTCCGGTCTTTCGAAAAGTTTCCCTCTGCTTCTTTACATTCCAAACCTAAGAACACCAACTACAGGTCTTAATCTATTGGATTGCTAACAGATGGCCACTGCTGAGCAAACAGGAGATTCCCTAATGTAAATCTCAGATGTAATTCCGGTTTCCTCTATTTATAGCGCTTAAATAAATTGGATACACACTCTTTGAATACAATTTTGATGGTTGCAAATGAGAGGAGGCCATTCAACACATCTTGCTCATTTGGTTTTTAGCAGCTAATTAATCTGAGGTTCTCACCTAGTCCTTTCTTGAAAGAAGACAGCTTTATGTTTAGCTGGTGCCCATCTCTTTTCCAATATTTCAATCTGTAAGAAAAATGACCTGTGTATGATGATAGTTTCTGCTTTAAAGATGAAGATGATCTAAACTAAATAGTAGTATCTAAATCTGTAGGGGACAGAATGAGGTTGGTGAACTAAGAAATTGAATGTAAAGTTCAATTTAAAAAATGTCCCAGCCTCAATTCTGCAATAACTGCTGAAATTGAAAAATAGGATTTGATTTATACTGCTAGTTATTAATGCTGAAATGTGATTGTGACTTAATATAATCGTATTAATAATGCCCTTATGAATTACCCATCCTGGCATCAAAAGTTCCATAATGTTTTACTGGACTTGACCAGGACAATATCCTGAAATGATTGCAAAGAATAAGTAACAGTAGGAAGTGTAAGGTTAATTATAAACCTGCTTTTTATCTTTCTGACACATGCCCACAATAGTGTATTTGTCGTAAAACCCAAACTGATAGTCCATCCACCCCTTTTCTCTAACATAAAGCAATTAACGTGCCTTATTAGTGTGTGTGATTCATTTGGTCTAAGAAATACATGAAAGTTTGAGGCGTAATTTTAGATATTCAGAAACATCTCTATCAGAGAGCTTGACCTCTCTCTGACTGACCTCTTTCAAAGTCAGAGCAGAAACCTGTGTAGGTACAGTAGGCCACAACCTTCCACCTCAGCCACACACACAATAGTAGCTCAGTGGCTTTTCAATGTCCTCGGATAGATATCCTAGGTGTCCTGAGGGTTGTAAAGGACTGTTTCTTTTATTATTTATAAGAAACATTTCACACTGTCTGCAATGTGTGGCACGTAATAATTAATTCCTGCAGCTACTACATGTAGCACTTCTTATCCCAAAGGATCCCACAGTGCTTTACATAAAGGAGGGGATCCGTCTCACCCAGCACTGAAGTGCAGAGACCCTCTGAGTGACGCACGGACACCATTAGGCACCAGGTGCCCCTCCATGTAGCAGATAAGGGGAATAAGTGACTTTGCTTTACCAGTTCAGTGAAGGGTGTACTGTAGGTAGGCCAGATTGTGCAAGCCCAAGGTTGATTTTGGGTTGGACTCTGGGGTTAACAACCCTACTCTTACGAATTAAGCCGTAGAGGCTGAATGTAGGATACTGTACTCAGAAAGGTTTCTCTCCCTGTTATGCTGTCTTGTTTAGATTTTAGGGATGAGAGCCAGAACTGTCTTTCCTTATAGGTGTGCACATTCCATTTAAGAACAAAAGATTCCATCTCTTCGTTCTTCCAGACCTACACATTTCTCTTCAGTGTGTAATTGGTAGAAACACATTTAAATATATCTTTCCATTATCATCTTCATCAGCTGATACCAGTTCACTGCTAGAAGCATTAAATTCCTGTCTTCAGCTATCTTCATTTATCATAATGTAACCTCTTTAGAGTTTGCTAAGTGGCAGGAACAGCTGTAAGGTTAAACATCCTTATGTTTTAGTTCCTACTATTCTGGTAACAAGTAGGTTCTCTCCTCTGATTAATCTTTAAAATGATCCTTCCCTGCATTCACACATTCAGTGACCTTTAAAGAGGTTAAAGGTGGTCATTCTCATGCAATTTGGAACATTCATGGTATGTTAAAAGCCATGCCGGTAAAACATTTGTGGTAAAAATCTACACATTTTCATGACTATCCTCTGTCTGTATAACCCAAGGTCAGCCTATGGTGATTAAGTTTTTTTTTAACTCCACTGATCTGCAAATTAAGTTATTTCTATCAGCATATTGACACTGAGGCCCATATTACATAAAAAACTTTGGCATTCAGGAATGATAAACCTGGTGACTGTGTTGGGCACAAGTCTTCTTAGTTCTGTCCAAAGACAAACCTAACGAAGACTGAGAATTGAGTTTATAATTTGCGATTTATAGGTAGGTTGTTTTTTTTAATCCAGATTTAAGTTTCATTCCTGTGAAGTAGACTTCAGGCGGTTGATTGTCTTCTAGTGGTAAATACTGTTTGTATGCAGAATTTTAGTCAATATGCTAATTTAAAAAGACAGCAATACATTACTAAGCAGAAAACAATTCTAATTATATGGTTGTGTTAGTAGGATATCTATATATTTCTTCATGTCCTTTCATTTGTAGATAATGATAAATATTATTTTTTCTTTTCACATACTGTCCACATGATATTGAGGGTAGCATATTGCTGGGACTAGGTGGGCCCCTAAATGGTGGGCTGTGAGTTTAGGTCCCTGCAGTGCAGACACTGTTGTACCTTTGAGTGAGGTACTTCACTCCAGCGGTGTAAGTGAGGTCTAGCACTTCTGGGGGTAATCCCTGTGATGGACTGGCTTTCAGATTTTTAGGGGACAGAAGTCCCTCTTGTTCTCTTAACTCCATAGAAACCAGGATAAGTTCAGGTCTGATGAGCAAGTTATTTATGGAATTGAAAAGTTATTTTCAATTGAAATGACTTAATCTGAAGTCCCCATAATTAATCTAAAGCATTACATAATGTGGATTTTAGCTGATATTACAACAAGCTAGATGAAATTATTGAGCAGTTGTTTCCTATTTAATTTTCTAAGCCAAACATGGAGAAGGTTGAAGATTAACTCTATGATTTTAGCAGTGCTAGAAATATATAACCCAATGAGTGCTGAGACTGTAGAACAAAAAAAGATGAGAATAAATTAGAGAACACCTTCTCATGAGCTTCTTGCTCATTAAAGTCTGAGTGTTCAATTATTGAACTTAAAGTTTATGTTGGTACAGGATGGCTCTAATAAGAGTGGTAGAAATCCATTTGAACTAAAGGAGTGAAGAAAATCTAAGTGGTCACTAATGCAAGATGCCTGGTTTATCCTCAGGGTTAACAATGGGCTGGTTTTGCCTCTGTTTGCTTTCAGATCGATAAGTACCTGTACGCCATGCGTTTCTCTGATGAAACACTACTGGATGTCATGGCTCGCTTCAGAAGAGAACTGGAAAATGGCCTGACCAGGGACACTAACCCCACAGCTTCTGTGAAGATGCTGCCAACCTTTGTGAGGTCCATACCTGATGGATCAGGTGAGCTCCCGACATGTTTTGACAGAGTAAGACTGGAATCTCCAGCGTGGCATTGTTCCAACTGGAAATTAAGTACCTTCCCACCTCAATATCAGAAAAGGGTTTTTGTCTGACTCAAGGGCCGTGCTGTGCATACAGCAATGCGATCAATATTCATTGCTAGGTTGCCCTCTGCAAAAATCTGTTTTACATTTGTGGAATTAATTAATCCTATTCAGGCTAGGGCAGGCTAGACGGTTTTTATTCAATTGCTTATCACTCCTGGAACTCTCTTTCTGGGCCTGATCCAAGCTAACAAAAGATCAGATATACTTGTGATGTTCAGAGCAGCTTTACAGTATGTGTGACCTTCAACAGTGATGGCAGATGAACTGGAATCTCCGATACATTTTTCTTCTATTTTAATGTCTGTGACCTTCTCCTTTCAGTATTTCTGGGATGGGCTAGACCAATGGTATATACACTATATACATGTAAAAGACTTTTTTTCTTTTTAAAATTGTATCAGATATCTGAGATCAACCACTTAATCATTGCAATGCCCATCTTACAGTGAATTTGAGTGGGTGATATGAAGCAACTGACACTACAGTATATGTATATTGCATTTTTGATTGACAGCAATCAGGTTTCTTAGCGATGAGCACAGGATTTAAGGTGGAACGACCTTAAGTTACAGTACCATGCGATTTGATCAAATTAGTGCTGCAATAATGAAAACGGAAGCTGGACTGTGTGCCATAACATCTCGATTTGTTAGAGCAATGAAAATAGATTAAATCCACTCAGGATCCACTGGTTGCTGTGAGCTGAGTAATAATGAGCCAATGGGTAAAAAAAGAAAATCTAGAAAAAGCCTGTCCTGGTCCTCTCATCTGCATCGTAAATGGTCCTCAAAACAGCAGATTTTAATTTTCCACTGCTACGGTTACTGTCATGTGAAGACGGTGCTGTGTTGAGGACATCGTCCTGCAAGGGGGAAGCAGGTGTTTAGTTCATTCGTATGATTCGTAAGTAATGTCTGAATCAAAAGGTTGGTATAACATAATTTCAGCAAACAGTGGAGTCGATTTAAAATGAATCTCAAACAAAATGTGTCATGGTAGTTACATCATTTTTGCTTTTGTTAAAATCACAACGTAGGCATACATTCAGGAAGTTCTCATGATTTATTTGAGTACACCCGTTTTTATCATCTTTGCAATCTTTCCCGTCTTTCTTACAGGACCTTACTCATAAGCACACGTATATTAACTCAGATAGCACAGCCATGCCTGCCAAGTGTTACTACCCCATGTCAGGTGCCAAGGGAGTCCTACGTTACACTCAGCCCACTTCAGCCTGGCTCCGACTCATGTCACACCTTATAAATAACCTAGCATGGGCCTCACAAGGCAAAGGGAGACAATCATGTGAGGCAGTCTTTCCGATAAATATGAAAATACACTTTCAGAGCCATCGTCATAATTATAACCTCAGCTAGAACTGATGAAACTCATCTTTAAAATATTTATATGTCTTATTGTTCTTATGGTGTCAAGATTTTAAAATTATTTCAGCGTGGTCTTGGTCCTTACTTTCTAATTACATTATTTTAATTGTGCTTAAAAAGGCCCCTCTAGTTTTTCTGGAGGGTTGCATGCATTCTGTTGATGTTTGGTGTGGTGTTATTAAGGCAGGACACTGGCAGGGATTAATTGGGCTCAGTGTGAGAGAACAGCTGGCTGTTGGGCAATAGCACTGTGTGTGAGGGTACTCTAAGCTGGGGTTCCTGTGTAGTCAGATCTGAGATTGGATTCAGTAATCATGCATGTGAATTCATATACTGTATCTTCACCTCTGAGCTTTTTGACTATATAATCTGAATTTTGTCCCACAGTGATAATTTAAAAAAGAGAGGTAGAACACAGCCTGCAGATACAATCTCTTTTTGATTTTCCCTTTGAACTGAACTGTCGAGATGTGTGCCTCTGAAGCGATCTTACAAATACCGATCCAACAACATGAAAAGAAAAGGCTGACCTTGCAGGACCAGTGGCCATCATGGTCACATGATCAGGAACAATTTGAGTTGGTAAACATACAGTAAGAACCTGAGAAACGTCATAGGTAGTTAAAGCTGTAGTTCAACCATTATTCCTTACTTGGATTTAGATTCTCTTAAGAACTTTCTAGAATTCTGCTGAGATGCAATTTAAGTACTGTAGCTTCATTTAGATAGATGGATTGTTGCAAAAAATTAGCCTCCTATGCAACAAAATCTAAATGTCCATGTCCTGGTTCAATTGCAGTTCTGGGTAAACTTTACAGTATCTTTAAAGATCTTTTCAAAACTTGAACTCTTCTGTAATCTTCCCTAAGTCTCCTCTGTTTCAGGTAAAAAAAAAACCTTTTCATCAGTCATTATTACCATATCATCTTTATGATGTGAAGAGCAGTACTGAACACAAAACTCTGCATGATCCCTGCCTAAATCATTAAACACTTTCCGGACAGAGGTTGTCTATAGGGATGATGATTAGTTGCCACTCATTTAGAAAAGCATAAGTACAATACTAGCACCTCAGTGAAAATGGCAGTACTTACACAACATCCTGTTATTTCGGTCTAGCAGTGTTTAGCCATTTTATTTTGTGAATTTATTTGCCTTTGTGTCACAGGAAACAAAAAAAATGCCAAGGTACAGATAAGAGTGAAGCATCTCACTCTATTCCTGCCCACTTTTTAGAGTTTTTTTCATCCAAGGACTTTGTAAAAGGCCCTGCTTGAGTCTATATACTGGCATTGGGAGAGGTTCATGTGAAACAGCGGTATGCATTGCTGTGACATTCACTGTAACTAATGAAGGACTCATGTTAATGATTCTCCTGTCTGCAGCATACTGTGGAGTACCTGAGCGTGGCGTAATTGAAGTGTTTAGTGTTCAGAAGGGGGAAAAAGGCCAGTTTAATGTTTGCTCATTTATTTTCTGAAAGGCAATGAAGGGAATCCAATGACCGCTGCAGCATGCATTTGATAGTTGGTTGCTATGCAGAGATAAAGCTGCTTAAATGCCAAGTTGTTAAAATGACCAGTGATAAAAGGGATGTCCCCCTCTCTTAGAAGGTTCAACAGAGGTAGAAAGAAAGAACAATATAAAAGTTTTAATTTGGAGAAACCTAATTTTGTTTTTCTCTTCTTGAAGGCATGTGAACATTTTTAAGTTATATTGCTAAACTGCTCAATAACCAGCATAAGAGTCCTCAGATCAGGAGGTTACAAATGAGAGGATGCTATTCAGCCTATCTAGCTTGTTTGGTTACTGGTAGCCCAGTGATCCCAGGATCCCTTCCAGCTGTTTCTTGACAGAATCCAGGGTATTGCCTTGAACAAAATGGTTGGGTAGTTAGTTGTTCCACACTCCCACAACCCTTTGTGTGTTCCACTCTGGTTCATACTATAATTCTTTGCTGATAATGAAGAAGGTCTTTGGGATGACTCTATCATTGTCTTGCATTTTTTTAAACCTTTTATCAGGTCCCCTCATAGTCGTCTCTGTTTAAGACTAAACAGTTTAGTTTTTTTATCCTGTCAGTGAATTACTGGTACTGCAGCAATAATATTTTTGAATCTTACCGGTGCACTGTATAATTCTAACATACCATCTCTAGGTTTAAATTCTATGATTTTTACTACACCTCCTTTCATTAAGTTTGCCTTTTTCTTTCTTCCCCACTTTGTCTGGATTATAAGATGTGTTGACATAAACACCTAACTCCTTTTCACATGTAGGTTCTACAAACTTAGTGTTTCCCATTTTACAGCTGTAGTTTAGATCTTTGCTACCTACTGTATATGTAAAACTATAAACATGTCTATAGTAAATGTTATTTGCAAGGTGTGTTCCAGTCCAGAATTCTGTCTAAACTCTTTAAATTTCCTTTACATCTTCGACAATGTTTCCAAATTGGCCTGTTTTGGAGCACTTCACTTGTTTACCTCTTAGCTAATTCATACTACAAATGCAAAGCCTTTGCATGTGACCAGTAAGAATACCACAAAATAGAATTTATGGGATTTTAATTTTCCATTCTCTGTAACTAGAAGCTCTGAAAATACTATGCAGACTAACACGAAGCCCCTTCATTCTTCCAGAAAAGGGAGACTTTATAGCTTTGGATCTGGGAGGATCTAACTTTCGGATTTTGCGCGTGAAGGTCTCTCACGAGAAGAGACAGACAGTCCAGATGGAAAGCCAGATTTACGACACGCCCGAAGACATCATGCATGGCAGTGGGACACGGGTAAGAGCTCCGTTTCCTGTCTCTTCCTGCTGGGCACTGTCGGTACATTGAGATCACACCCATCTCCAAACCTTGCAGGTTGCTGTGTCTGTTTTGTGTGCTCAAATATGCTGTACATGCTGACACAAGGTTTAACAAAAGCTTCGTGTTCACTTGAAATTTGGGTGAGAAGTGGGCAGTCAGAACATTTGAGCACTTCAACTATTCAACTAATTCTTCATATTAACAATTGTTTATATCAATATACTATTCATAAAGGCAAATCATTTCAGACAAGATTACTTGCACAATAATGTAATATTAGTGCCTTCTTATTAATAATGGACTGCTTCCGTGTTGCCTGTGTATATTTTTTGCAGCTGTTTGACCATGTTGCTGAATGCCTGGGAGATTTTATGGAAAAACAAAAAATCAAAGACAAGAAGCTTCCTGTGGGATTCACCTTTTCCTTCCCCTGTGCACAAACCAAGCTGGACGAGGTATGATCATCTTAAAAATAACTAAAACATTTGCAAATCATACTTTTTATGAGTGAATTAGCTCTTTCTATCCACATAGCCTGCTTTTAGTTCAGATCTAGGGAGAGCTGAGGACTCTTATATTCTGCCGTGTAGCCATGCCAGTGGATGAGGCAAATTAATAGCTGATTTTCTTAATCTCCCTGAAACCAAATTGCAAAAGTGTTTTAGAAATAATCTCCTCAGACCAGTAGCAGAATGGATGGGACTAAACCTTCCATATCTTTCAGAGATATGTTTTGTTTTTGCCTGCAGAGGAATGTAAATCAAAATTATTAATTATCACTCAAATGCTATAAACACCATAGGACCATGGAATATCTTTTGAAGATTACCTCTAGTGCACTAATGGTAACCTGTGTTAGTTAATAATTATGCTAATTACTGTGTACTGGATGCACTGTAAATAATTTGTAAAGGAAACACTGGTCAAAGCAGAGGACTTGGCAGTTTGGAGTAATCATTAATTCCTGCTCCTCTGTTCCTTGTTTTCACCATTGGCAGATTACTGTCAACATTGTTTAGTGTATCCAACAACAGAGAATGATCCAAAAACTACACACTAAATAGTAATTGTACTGAAGGACAAGGATTTAGCCTTTAGTGAAGGACAAGGACTGGGGTGTGATACTGAAGCTTAATTGATTAATTAATTGTTGTTGGGTTGATTTTCAGAGAAATTGAATTAGGAGATGTGGCCCTTTAGTGTCAAAGGGCATTACCAGCCTGACCTGTTTTTCAGGGTGTTTTGCTCACATGGACCAAGCGTTTCAAGGCAAGTGGTGTGGAGGGAATGGATGTGGTGAAACTACTGAACAAGGCCATTAAGAAGCGAGGGGTGAGTTTGGCTTTCTGACTTTGTGAGTGTATAAATGGATACAGTTACTTTAAACTGAAAAAGAAACCAGGAAATCCGACTGTTTCACATCTATTATGCATATTGGTCAATCGGTCATCTGTAATTCTGTTTCTTTGTTTTGAAGGATTATGATGCTGACATTATGGCTGTGGTCAATGACACAGTTGGAACTATGATGACCTGTGGATTTGATGACCAGCGATGTGAAGTTGGGATCATTATAGGTAAAGAAGTGGTAAACAGATAAAAGCATGTGATAGTTTCAAAGCCTCAGACATGCAGAACAAGCTTTAATGTTCTTAGCTGTTTACACGAGGAACTAATGAAATGAAAAATAAAGTGCAGGTTAAACCTTGTTGGATCTAGAGGAATTCTGACATGACTGCTACTCTGCTCACAGTTTAAGACCTGTCCTAGGTCCTAAGTCCTAAGTCCTGAGGTTACTGGGGAAACAAAAAGTTCCCCCCTCTTTGCCCATTGCCCTCTGGAACAAAGAGGGGTTTTCACTTCCGGGTTAGCCAGGACCCACAGTGTTGCCCTACCAAATGTCTAGTAAGGCAATGGAGACTGCTATAATACTGTATATTAAATTCAGAGGCAACTAAAGCAGTTTAAAAGTTTTTTTCCAGTGAAAGATATTCAGTGTGCTCTGATTTTTGCTCTTTAAAAAGCTCAAAAGAGAATATTCTGGAAAAAGGTTCCCCACTCTGGACCTCTGGGTCTAGAATCCAAAAAGCTTTTTCCATCCCTTTACTTTGACCACAGTTTAAGAAGGGATTAATTGGCCCTATTAAACCTTAATTGGATTAATTTAACTTCTCCCAGGTGAAGAGCTGTTTATAACTTAAGGAGACATAGAAAAGCTGCTGCATTCTGGACAATGAGAGATTGGACCCCTTATCCTTGGTTATTCTTGTGATTTAATGTAGGAGTTGTTTCACAAGCATCACTCTGAAACATAACTTGATTTCCTTGGACCAAATGCCACTTGTGCCATTTTAATTGATATTGAAATTGCAGCTTCAGTTAGTGAGGTTGGTGTAAACAACATGTTTACCAACAGTCAAAACGAATTATAACCATCCGTTTTATCTACATTTGAAAGAACAAAGTGATAGAGAGCAAAAATGTATGTGAAGTACTGTATAAATAAAAAACAGAGAAAATAAAAAAATAACAAAAGGGTCAATTATACAAACTTTTCACTATCACTACAATATGTGATAGTGTGTGATGATCAGTCTTAGTTTTGATGACTAAAAGGATAGTGGTTTATTGATATAGAGACTGTCAGACTGGTATACCACAGACAGATTCACCAGTTTGCTCTAGCTGTCAGACTCATATATCACAGACAGATTCATCAGCGTGCTCTAGCTGTCAGACTCATATATCACAGACTCATATACCACAGACAGATTCACCAGCGTGCTCTAGCTGTCAGACT